ATGCGCAGCAGCAAGAAGGTTTCGGTCATCCCTTGAGGGTGAGTCTAGCCCTGCTCGCCAGAAAGACCCCCCCCTTCGCTACAACCCATGTCTAAGCAAAAGCTTGTCGAGGAGCGAGGGGAAGAAGGGAGGTGTTGTACAAAAAACAAAAGCAACGTCAGCAAAAGCGAGATCAAGGTACCCAACACAGCAGAGTACTCTAGGCAGGGAGGACATGAAAAAAAGAAGCACAGCGCAGAGGCCGAAGACAATACAAAGGACATACACAAAGGAGAATAGCACACAGCAGGGAGGGATACAGGGCGCAACAACATCAGCCGAGTACATAATAGTTCGCCACAAGTGCTGCCTCGGCCGCCCTAATCGCTTCAACAGCAGTGCCTGGTCGCCGTTGCTTCCCCCCCACCGCGGCTTCCCCGACTCTCTTTCTCTTCGGTCCTGAGATGGCCGTATACAGACGCGGTTCAGACCGCCAACGAAAGAGGCGTTACCGGATGCATGACCTCGGACGCAAACGTACTGCACTAGGCGATGCCATCCTTGCTGTTGCCAACGGCGTGTAGTACACCACCATTATTCCGTCGTTGCCCTGGTCTCACTGGTGAACCCCCTGTGAATCGATAATGAATAAACCGTTCAGGGTCACGGTAGACAGACGCAGTTCAGACCGCCAACGAAAGAGGCGTTACCGGATGCATGATAATGACGTCGTCGTCGTGTCCGCTAGATAGAAACAAGAAAAACTTATTCTGCCAGCAAGACAACGTAACGAACAGGGACCACGCGGTTTTTCACACCAACCGTGATCAGCAACAACAATAGTGGGACGAAGATACAACAATTAGTCACACACTCGCGACATCAACCCGAAAGAACGATTCGGCCCGCGTCCTACTGCTATTTCCTTGCACGGATCGTTCATAACCAACGCGATCAACCCCCAACGATACCTACCCAAAGGTCTACCTCTTCGGACCTGTTAGTCTATCTACCGGTGAACCGCGTGGATCCGTGTGGTATCACCAGCGCAGAAGTCGAGTGCGCTTCCTTCAGAGCGACGGTTGCACTGCGACAGCTTTCTACCGATGATGCCAAAAGATCCAATGTCGTCATCGCTGCTGGTGCCACTGCTCTTCATATGCTGTTTATCGTTCTACGGCCAGTGTGCTACCATATCGATCACTCCAGGAGGCACCGCTTTTCAGGTACAGGCACCAAAGTTTTTTTCCGGTCGATCGCATTTTGACCGTCGATGGGTTTTACCCTCCGTCCGTTTCATTTGTCCGATGTGATCGCTCAGTGCCGATGTTACGCTTCTGCCATTTCCAAGCCGTCCTGGGCCAGCAGGTAGTTTTACGGAAGGCGTAGTCTACAAACTTCCGTTTGGTGACGCTTCTTCTACAATAATACTGCAGTCTTTGATATGCGGATATAGTTTTGCAGAACCGGACGGAGGACAGAAGAAGCACTGAACAATGAATATTCTCAAGTCGTCGACAAGAGAAAAGGATCGTTACGTTGGAATCCATTTTTGCAAGGTACCAAAGTCAATCTTCGCCGTACACCTCAAGACCGAAGCTCGATAGCCATATCATCATCATCACGCACATGCAGCTTCACGGGGTATCGCGGGCCCATCGACAGCACAGGTGTACTCTTTTTTTTTTTTGCGGCAAAAAATAATGAGGGAGGAGAGAGGAGAGAGTTAGTTGTTGTTCTTGTCTTCACAGCAGTGCGGGGAGAGACAGAAGTACAGCAGAGAGAAGACGAGTGTACTCCTTCTGTAGACGCAACAGCTATCTCCACCCATGGCCATGAGGGCTGCCCGCGACAGAACGGTGGACACAGACAGGACCATAGAAGGGTTGATGCGCTGTCGCGGTGCGGCCAGTAGCGCAGTTTGGGCTTGCAGACCTCGAAAAGTTCAGTCGTCAAGCCGCCTGAACTACTCTATTTTCAGTACATTCAAATGATCAATGAAAATGACCAGTGAGAGGGCTTGTAGACCCATACTCTAGACTACATAGCTGGTTATTGTACTTGTGTACTTCTCTGTCCCCTCCCCGATGTGAGCCCTGCCGGCTCACTACAGCTCCTGTGATTTTCGCACAAGCATGCAAGCACACACCAGCACACACCTACCTTTGCATCGGTGGCTCTCTAGGTTCGGGCGAGGGTATGTGTAGGGCTATCCTGATGGTGTATGTGTTACTACCTAGTCTGCCGTAAAATGTTAAGACTCGTCTAGAATATACGACCGTTGCTGTGTAGAATAGCCGCTGACATGATGACTGTGCTGGACCTTGGAAGTGTACGATTTTCGAATTTGGAGGATAGACCATGCATCATACCGCGATATCCTGGCCTGTTTGGGCTTGAAGTGCCCCTTTTCGCTGTCCTCCTGTCTTTGCTTCAGTGTCTTCCTAGATTCGGGCGAGGGCATGTATGTGGAGCTACTGATGTTTTTTTTTCTCCCATCATTGGGCTCTGTCGTCTGCCCGTCTGGCCCCTATCCTCCAATTCTACTAGCTAGACGACACAACCAACACAACCAACCGGGGTCACACAGGAGGGGGGGGTTGGGCCCCCTCCTGCGGTTCGGATTGTTTTTCTTTTTCTCCCATCATTGGACTCTGTCGTCTGCCCCTCTGGGCCCCTATCCTCCACTTCTACCAGCTAGACGACCCAACCGGGGTCACATAGAAGGGGGGGGCTGGACCCCCTCCTGCGGTTCCTGCCTGAGGTATTACCGCGAGAAGGGTGTTGGACGTACTCACAGCATCGACAGATTATTGCAAGCAAGATTTCCGAGCAGATGGAGCGGGGAGTTTGGGGGGTTCAGCAGTTGCTATGGATTAGGTTTGGTGGTACCAACTTTGCCGCATATTTCAGGATTGAGGGTGGGGGTATAGGTGCGTCTACAACGGATATGGTGTTCGTGTTTTGTGGCTGCCCACTTCTTCATTTTCTACTTCTTCCTTTTTCCCTCTGTTTTCCTTCTTCCTGTGTGCAATCAAGTCCTTTTTCCCGGCTATCACGCCACGGCTACCACGCCAATCCCGGCTATCACGCCACCCGGCTACCACGCCTTCTGTACTTCCACGTCCTTGCACACGCCTTCGCACCACGGCTATCACGCCAACAGGCTTTCATACCACATTCAGAGGGACCATACCCGAGCTATCACGCTCCATCCCAAAGCAGCAGGCTATCACACCCATTGTAGTTCCTCCATTGTACCGTTGGCCGCGACCACGCCGCTGGCTCTTTTATTTCCCAACTACGGGACCCCGCGCGCCAAGGCACCGACTCACAAAGCTACTCAACAAAGGGTACAGCAATTCTTTCCCGTGACTTACGAAGTTGATTATGGTTTACTAACAAACGAGCTTTGCAGCGCGTCGCTTTCATCCTAGACCAGGATGTATTTAGTGAGAAAAAGTCTCACTCTGCCGGGACTCGAACCCATGACCTGGCCCTTAGCAGGCTGCGAGGCTACCCACTAGACCACCGGGGCGACCGGTGTGTGTCTCTTTGAAAGGATATGGGGAGAGATTCATGGCGGTATTCGAATTTAGAGCAGTGTGCATTTCTCTAATTTTGGCCGTTCCAGGGACCTTGATATTCCCCGCTGGCACTAACGTCTTTTCATTGGCCACCCGGTAGCGCGGTCGATGCGAATAAAACACACCTGCCTGCCTTTTGACTTGCCAACACCTGGCGTGGAGGGATACAGGGCGGCAACTCCATGGCATGCCACAATACCAGCATTTATTTACAAATGATCAATCAATGATCTGTAAGGACGCCTGCAAACCCCAAAGGGTTAAGCAAGGGTAGTGCGGAGTGGGCGAGCCTTTTGGACTCATTTTCCCAGCCTCCCAAAAAGTTCGTCGACATTCGCAGTTGTCGGGAATCACAAGAGAAACGAACACGTGGCAAGAAACATGATGTGTAGAATAGTACCAGTACAGTTTTTCACAGATCCCTAGGATCCTACTCTTGCGTCTACATGAGAGTTCCGTGTCTATAAGCCCTACTTAATATATACACTGTTTTCTGCATACAAACTACAAAGCTGCTTAGACTATCCTACTCAGAGCAACCCCACCCAGTAGACCCAGTAGGTTTGATTGCGAGCGTACCAAAGTCTGCACATTACATCGATCTATTGTACACCGTTGCGGAATCGCCCCAAAATAAATTCGATTAAAGTTCTGCCCGTGCGAGTGCCGCACTGACTGACTCAACGCGCTACTTGATGGCCTCAGGATGCCCTCGATGTGGTCAACCCTGGTGACGTCATTGAACTCGGGAATGGAGATTACTGGGAAGATCTCAAGACACGGGTGGGTGAACGGTGGTGTGGCCCCGCGTGGGTGTTCAGGACTGTCCGCATCTTTTGAATACACCACGTGCACTGTAACAGTCGCTGACACGGCAGTAGTTCCAGTCAGAAGAAAAGGTCGTTCTGATTCAAATGACATAATGTACTGTACCTGGGCAACAAAAATAAAATACTCCTACAACCGCGTACACGCTGCACCGTAACCATAGGCAGACCACAACGGGCCATGCACTAGCAGGCCCGGTGTGGTCGGTGACGAAAACAATGTCTCCGACAGCGAAACGGGTGAGCTACAAGCAGGTGTTCCAACAGGTCGCACGCTAGGGTACAGCGCCAACGAGGTCATTGAGCGTCGAAAATTGTTAGGCGCTCACTTTGATGAAGCCTCACAGTGCTGTGTGTCGTGTAACCTGCCTAGGAAAGGCTGCTGCTACTGTACTGCTGCTGTGTAGTCTAACCTGTCGAGGAAAGGCTGCTGCTACTGTACTGCTGTGTAGTCCAACCTGTCAAGGAGAGGCTGCTATTGAGCTTTGGACCACGGTTTCTTTGCGGCCAAGCCCGTGCTCTTTCCGTTCTTGTCTCGTCTCATATTGTCATTATCGTCGCTGTCGTGTAGACCGATGGGACGGTCGACATGCCAATCACTATCCGCGGGGCTGGAGGGACGGACGACAGAGAAAACGTTGTTCTGCGTGGCGCTGGCACCAGCACCAGGGTGTTAGAAATCAAGCACGACTACTACATCGTCGAGGTGCGAACATCGTCAGTTACGGCGCGGGTATAGTCTACACTGTGTAGTTTGTGTTGGTCGTGGTGGGGCATACGCTGTCACAGTTCTATACTTTCCGGTCATCCACGATTCCAAAGGACACACAATGACGAACCCAAAGGAGCCGTCAGGATGAAATACCATCATTATTATTGGAACTTCTGTAGCGTCGCTCCTTTGCAAGTCGCAGGCACCGAATCGAGCTTGGTAATGAAGCAAGTACATTATTACAACAAACTGCGCGATGTCGCATTGAAAATATTAGCGCTCATATCCCCGAGCGAGCATGAGCGTGTGGTGCATACTTCCTCTGTATCATAAGTTAGGGTACCTAAATTTGTACGGGCCCTTAACCGTGTCCGATCTGTTTTCCGATTTTTTTGTTGAAATCTTCGGAGTTTTTTTAGCAAGAAACATATATGTTTACTTTTATGCATGCGCCACCCCGCGTGCATGAGCGGCCGAGAAAAA